GACATTTAAGTAAAACACCCTTAAAAAGCTTTAGGCCTTAAGTCATTCTGAGATAGGATTCATGAGACGTAATTCCTTCTTGAACAAAGTATAGGGATTTTCATCCTTCCATTTGCACACTTTTGTCAAGATGTCTGTATTTTCATGCAAGAAATAGGATATGAGACTGTGGTAGCTTCCAAGAGACATCTCCACTGATCAGAAGGGATAAGATGTTAAAAAAACTTTTTCCCCTCCACAATGGCAGCCAATTCCTGAGCACGAACTCTCTGGCAGGACCAGTGAAGCAGCTAAGAGCTCTCAATCTGCCTACAGCTTTCTTGGGAAGTGCACCCAGTATTTTCATCCTTGCTGATCTTTATGTTCTCCTGCACACTATGTAGCAGAGCAATTTATTCTCCCTCATAAATACACCTTTTCACTGTTCCAGATTCTGTGCTGACAACTCTCAGATCTCACAGGCTTAGATACAATTTCCAATGCTGATGCATTCAGCAACATGGACAATTTTTCTCTACTAGTCCTGTCCATGCATAACTGGTCATGGCCTCTAGATTTAGTGGTGGAGAGGAGAGAAAGGTGGAGTAGCAGCCACGGGCTGCCACAAGGGCTCTTCCCTGATTTAGCACTCTTGCCATCCTGCAAAGCAAGACATCTTTAGGAGCCCAACACCACCTCTGTGAAACCCTAGTGCAGCCACAGCCATGGAAGAGGAATGCTCTTCCTCAGGAGCTCATGGCATTGGTGATTCCTCACAGAATCTTGCGTTTCTGTGCGTTTGTGAGCAGAGGCACAAAAAGGAAAGGTCTTGTGCCCTCAATCCCTTCTACCCCAGAACAACACCTTTCTCCTGTGGCAGCTTGGGGAGTGTCCACAGAGGGAAGCACTACATGGAGGCCAGGCTTGAATGCAGCAGAACTTTAATGAGTCAAAGTAGAGAAAAAAAGTCACTCCATGTGAAGGACAGAAATGCAGTGAGCAACAAGGGCAGCCGGAGAGTCTGCGGTCCTTGGTCCTGAAGAAGTTCTTGCATGATGTCCATCCCTCTGACCCATAGAGGGAGAGGAGACAGATGGTCTCCACCAGAATAGCTGTGGTGGGACTCTGCTGCCAAGGGGAACCAAAGCAAACAAAGAAAAGACATTGAAAGGCAAAGCTATTCAGCTATTCTGAAAACACATTCAGAATCTCAATCCTCTTGCCAGCACCACATTGTGAATTCCTCAAGGTGTCTCCATGGGTCTTTCCCAGCATCTGGGTCAGCGGAGGAATCTCCTGCCATAGTAGCAGCCAGAAATGCCAGACAGGTCACAGCACCCAGAGGTGATGGGCACTCCATCACAGCTGAGGATGCTGCCAACAGCAGCGGAGGTGGAGGAGCCCACAACGGTGTTCTGTGGGAAGGAGCTGAGGATGGGTCCGGGCAGGGTCACCACCACAGCAGGGGGCTCAATGACGACGGTGGAGCTCTGGCACTGCCTGACACAGGGCTCATTGCAGCTGTTGGCCAGCGGGGTCGGGCCACAGGGCTGGCAGGGCAGGCACGGGTTGTAGCAGGACATGTCTGTGGGCTGGAGCTGCACCTGCAAGAGAGGACAGGGAGGAAGCAGAGCACAAGGGTATATGAGGAGCAGACTGGTTTCTCTGCAACAAAGGAGCCAAGGGATCATTACTGAGTGGGGAGCTGAAGCCTGTGTCAGGAGCCACCCAGTCTTCATCACCCTAGAAAGAGCAGCCTGGACATGGGAGGTTTTATCTTAATTAACCAAATATCTTAATTAACCAAAAGCCCCCACCAGCCACTTCCCAACCTCTCCCTACACAGACCTTCTCCTCACTTCCCTCTGTCATGACAAGGAGATCCAAAACGAGGGACAGGAAAGACCCAATATCAGCTGAGGTGTCTATCGAGGATAGGTTTTATGTTGGAAGAGTAGGAGAAAAGGCATCAGACTCACCCGGTTCCCAAGGAGAAGGAGAGAAGAGAAGGTGATGAGAGAGCAGGGGTTTGGGCTGCCTTTTATACCTGCCCTTCATTGCCGCAGGACAGAGGCACCCTTTGCAGAGGTAACAATTTTCTGACAAGCTCATCTTGAATGCAAACCATCACAGCTAATGCTATGGGCTGTGCTTTGGTTTCCAAAGCTACTGCCTTTTCATTTCCAGGTTTGTTCCATGCCCATTACCCAGTGAAGGCTTTTTCTGAGCATAGGGATGAAAGGCCCCAGGATTTTTAGGGCAGGAATGCAGCGTGCAGGCAGAAGACTCATCTCAAGGGGTGGAGGAGTCCAGAGCATGCAATTTGTGCTAGCCTGTGTCACTGCGATGGGACTGTTTGAAGTGTCTATCTCAGGGAGAAGCTTCAGCAATCCTCAGCTGAATGTAATGGGCCCCCATGCATGCTGATGTGCTATGTCCTGATCTCAACCTCCCTCCTCAGATCACCCCATGATCCTTTGTTGTTATCTCCTCAGATGTGTGGGTTCTGCTGCTAGGATCTGACCCCATTCTGCCTAGCACTGCCCAGTCCCCAGGGGTCCTCAGCAAGGTCCAGGGTATGTTTTGTTCCTATGAGTGTTTTTGTGTGTTCTTGTAAGCAGCCTGGTTTGTGTGAATATACGTGTGAGCAGGTTTTTATCTATAATTCAGTGCTGGTGTGCATAAGCTTTTTGTGTGCCCTTGTGTGTCCCTCATCCTTCATCAGGAGGAAATCTTCTGCTCTTGGCAAGTACACTCTCCGCTGCTGTATCCAGGAGCACCACACGGCAGCAGATGCTCAGAGTCAGAAGGAGAATGAATCCACTTGAACTGTGATGGCACCATCCTGCTAGAGACCTGTGCAGGGAAGAGGCACTGAAATGCAGCCCCTGTCTCCTGAGCCCTCCTTTGCCTGCCTCTCCAAAGCTCACACTCTGTTCCTAAGCTCACACTCTGTTTCTGCTCTTTTCAGGCCCCAACAACAACAGGTTCACTCCAGCTTGGATCCTTAGTTTAATTCACTCTAAAAATACTGGGAGTGTCTTGGCATGGTGTCAATCCCCTCTCCTTGTCTCTCAAGGCCAGAACACTGCTGCTCTTTACAGCACTAGAGAGAGTTGTAAAAGGTGGGCTTTGCTTTATGGGCAAGGAGAAAGGCTGAGGAATCCTGTCTACCATGTTCTGGTCATCTCTTTGAATGCACTGTCAGTGGTTTCTGCATTGGGACACAGCCCTCTATCATGTCCAACCTCATGTCAAATGTTCTTATGCAGCCATTGACCTAGTGCTGTGTCAGGCAGACACTGAGGCCTTGGACTAAAGAGGTATTGAATGAAAGGAACATGAAGCCCGATGCTGCTGTGCTCTGAGTGGAAGGACAGACCCTGTTGCTTGCATCGGGAAAGCCAAAGAACTGATGACTGCTTTGGACTCAAGCCAACAAAGACCTTCATAGCTCACACTGGAAACTCATTCTGAGTATCCATCAACTTCCCCTGGGATTCAAGGGAGATTGGATTCAAGACCACATCCCCCAACACCAGCTTCTGTCCCACAGGGGTGTCGAAAATAGACCCTCTTTCTGACAAGAGCTGTGCACACTGGGTAAATTTTCTCTGCTCATCTAAGTGCCTGAATATTTCTTCCTGGACTCTGTCCACCTCAGAGGCAGTGCAGCTGAGGGCTTACTCTCTCAGGGAGGCTCTGTAATCTCTGTCATGGGAAGGTGCTCAAGGATGGACTGAATGTGACTTTGAGCAACCTGATCTAATGGGATCTCTTCTGAG